TAGTACTGATCCTTACGAGTCCAAAATGGTATAAAATTCCCAAAACGGACAGTATTTGGCCGAGATATTCCAAAAAATCAACAAAAAGGTTGACTCTACAAACGATTCGGTTTTTGGTCAGCCACTTTTTTTAACACATAGATTTTAAAAATGTTTGAATGCAGATTGATAGAAGGGATCCCTACGAACTCAAAAAGGTATAACATTTCAAAATCTGACAGTATTTACCCGAGATATTCAATAAAAATCATCAAAAAAGTTTTGATTTTCGAACGGACCCCGAATTTGAGAAAAAACGTGATGTAACCCCTTGCCATTTTGTTGATTTGGGAGAAAATACAGATTTTAATTTTTTTGATGCAAATCGATAGTACTGATCCTTACGAGTCCAAAATGGTATAAAATTCCCAAATCGGACAGTATTTGGTCAAGATATTCAAAAAAATCTTCAAAAAAGGTTGACTCTACAAACGAATCGGTTTTTGGTCGTGATGTAACCCCTTGCCATTTTGTTGATTTGGGTGAAAATATAGATTTTTATTTTTTTGATGCAAATCGATAGTACTGATCCTTACGAGTTTAAAATGGTATAAAATTCCCAAATCGGACAGAATTTGGTCGAGATATTCCAAAAAATCATCAAAAAAGGTTGACTCTACAAACGAATCGGTTTTTGGTCAACCACTTTTTTTACCCCTTCGATTTTTAAAATGTTTGAATGTAGATTGATAGAAGGGATCCCTACGAATTCAAAAAGGTATAACATTTCAAAATCTGACAGTATTTACCCGAGATATTCAATGAAAATTATCAAAAAAGTTTTGATTTTCGAACCGACCCCGAATTTGAGAAAAAACGTGATGTAACCCCTTGCCATATTGTTGATTTGGGTGAAAATATAGATTTTTATTTTTTTGATGCAAATCGAAAGTACTGATCCTTACGAGTCCAAAATGGTATAAAATTCCCAAATCGGACAGAATTTGGTCGAGATATTCCAAAAAATCATCAAAAAAGGTTGACTCTACAAACGAATCGGTTTTTGGTCAACCACTTTTTTTACCCCATAGATTTTTAAAATGTTTGAATGTAGATTGATAGAAGGGATCCCTACGAATTCAAAAAGGTATAACATTTCAAAATCTGACAGTATTTACCCGAGATATTCAATAAAAATCATCAAAAAAGTTTTGATTTTCGAACCGACCCCGAATTTGAGAAAAAAAGTGATGTAACCCCTTGCCATTTTGTTGATTTGGGTGAAAATTTAAATATTTATTTTTTTGATGCAAATCGATAGTACTGATCCTTACGAGTCCAAAATGGTATAAAATTCCCAAATCGGACAGAATTTGGTCGAGATATTCCAAAAAATCATCAAAAAAGGTTGACTCTACAAACGAATCGGTTTTTGGTCAACCACTTTTTTTACCCCATCGATTTTTAAAATGTTTGAATGTAGATTGATAGAAGGGATCCCTACGAATTCAAAAAGGTATAACATTTCAAAATCTGACAGTATTTACCCGAGATATTCAATAAAAATCATCAAAAAAGTTTTGATTTTCGAACCGACCCCGAATTTGAGAAAAAACGTGATGTAACCCCTTGCCATATTGTTGATTTGGGTGAAAATATAGATTTTTATTTTTTTGATGCAAATCGAAAGTACTGATCCTTACGAGTCCAAAATGGTATAAAATTCCCAAATCAGACAGAATTTGGCCGAGATATTCCAAAAAATCATCAAAAAGGTTGACTCTACAAACGAATCGGTTTTTGGTCAACCACTTTTTTTAACCCATAGATTTTAAAAATGTTTGAATGCAGATTGATAGAAGGGATCCCTACGAATTCAAAGGGGTATAACATTTTAAAATCTGACAGTATTTACCCGAGATATTCAATGAAAATTATCAAAAAAGTTTTGATTTTCGAACCGACCCAGAATTTGAGAAAAAACGTGATGTAACCCCTTGCCATTTTGTTGATTTGGGTGAAAATTTAGATTTTTATTTTTTTGATGCAAATCGATAGTACTGATCCTTACGAGTCCAAAATGGTATAAAATTCCCAAATCGGACAGAATTTGGTAGAGATATTCCAAAAAATCATTAAAAAAGGTTGACTTTACAAACGAATCGGTTTTGGGTCAACCACTTTTTTGAACCCATAGATTTTTTAAATGTTTGAATGTAGATTGATAGAAGGGATCCCTACGAATTCTAGAAGGTATAACATTTCAAAATCTGACAGTATTTACCCGAGATATTCAATAAAAATCATCAAAAAAGTTTTGATTTTCGAACCGACCCCGAATTTGAGAAAAAACGTGATGTAACCCCTTGCCATTTTGTTGATTTGGGTGAAAATTTAAATATTTATTTTTTTGATGCAAATCGATAGAACTGATCCTTACGAGTTTAAAATGGTATAAAATTCCCAAATCAGACAGATTTTGGCCGAGATATTCCAAAAAATCATCAAAAAAGGTTGACTCTACAAACGAATCGGTTTTTGGTCAGCCACTTTTTTTAACCCATAGATTTTAAAAATGTTTGAATGTAGATTGATAGAAGGGATCCCTACGAGTTCAAAGGGGTATAACATTTTAAAATCTGACAGTATTTACCCGAGATATTCAATAAAAATCATCAAAAAAGTTTTGATTTTCGAACCGACCCGGAATTTGAGAAAAAACGTGATGTAACCCCTTGCCATTTTGTTGATTTGGGTGAAAATTTAGATTTTTGTTTTTTTGATGCAAATCGATAGTACTGATCCTTACGAGTCCATCGAATTTTTAAATGTTTGAATGTAGATTGATAGAAGGGATCCTTACGAATTCAAAGGGGTATAACATTTCAAAATCTGACAGTATTTACCCGAGATATTCAATAAAAATCATCAAAAAAGTTTTGATTTTCGAACCGACCCCGAATTTGAGAAAAAACGTGATGTAACCCCTTGCCATTTTGTTGATTTGGGTGAAAATTTAAATATTTGTTTTTTTTAATGCAAATCGATAGTACTGATCCTTACGAGTCCAAAATGGTATAAAATTCCCAAATCGGACAGATTTTGGCCGAGATATTCCAAAAAATCATCAAAAAAGGTTGACTCTACAAACGAATCGGTTTTTGGTCAGCCACTTTTTTTAACCCATAGATTTTAAAAATGTTTGAATGTAGATTGATAGAAGGGATCCCTACGAATTCAAAGGGGTATAACATTTTAAAATCTGACAGTATTTACCCGAGATATTCAATAAAAATCATCAACAAAGTTTTGATTTTCGAACCGACCCGGAATTTGAGAAAAAACGTGATGTAACCCCTTGCCATTTTGTTGATTTGGGTGAAAATATAGATTTTTATTTTTTTGATGCAAATCGATAAAACTGATCCTTACGAGTCCAAAATGGTATAAAATTCCCAAATCGGACAGAATTTGGTAGAGATATTCCAAAAAATCATTAAAAAAGGTTGACTCTACAAACGAATCGGTTTTTTTACCCCATCGATTTTTAAAATGTTTGAATGTAGATTGATAGGAGGGATCCCTACGAATTCAAAAAGGTATACCATTTCAAAATCTGACAGTATTTACCCGAGATATTCAATGAAAATTATCAAAAAAGTTTTGATTTTCGAACCGACCCCGAATTTGAGAAAAAACGTGATGTAACCCCTTGCCATTTTGTTGATTTGGGTGAAAATATAGATTTTTATTTTTTTGATGCAAATCGATAGTACTGATCCTTACGAGTCCAAAATGGTATAAAATTCCCAAATCGGACAGATTTTGGCCGAGATATTCCAAAAAATCATCAAAAAAGGTTGACTCTACAAACGAATCGGTTTTTGGTCAGCCACTTTTTTTAACCCATAGATTTTAAAAATGATTGAATGCAGATTGATAGAAGGGATCCCTACGAATTCAAAGGGGTATAACATTTTAAAATCTGACAGTATTGACCCGAGATATTCAATGAAAATCATCAAAAAAGTTTTGATTTTCGAACCAACCCCGAATTTGAGAAAAAACGTGATGTAACCCCTTGCCATTTTGTTGATTTGGGTGAAAATATAAATTTTTATTTTTTTGATGCAAATCGATAGAATTGATCCTTACGAGTTTAAAATGGTATAAAATTCCCAAATCGGACAGAATTTGGTAGAGATATTCCAAAAAATCATTAAAAAAGGTTGACTCTACAAACGAATCGGTTTTTGGTCAACCACTTTTTTTTACCCATCCATTTTTAAAATGTTTGAATGCCAATTGATAGTAGGGATCCTTAAGAATTCAAGAAGGTATAATAGATCAAAATCAGACGATATTTAACCTATATAAAAAAAAAATATTAAATACGCCCTAGTTTGTGTGCAACTTCTTTTATGTTATAAAATCGGACAATAAGCAACGATCCTTTTTATTAGAATGTAAAGCAAAGCAAAGAAGTAACGGCGGAGGTATTCGTACGATTTATGCAAAAAAAAAAATTTTTGTCCGAAGATGTATTTCATTTATGAAATCGGAGCATTCTTTTTCAACCTGACACATACATTGGCATAAAACCAATTTACGCTTTTAGTTAATTTCCATTCTTCTCACCGGTATTGGAATACCAAATCAAAATCTTTCTATTATCCACAGTTGCGGGTGGAATTTGTAAAATCGCTGAAAACGTATTCGCTCAAAACGTATTTTGAAAACAAGCTTTAAACAGTCAGGCGAAAATTGAAATCTCGCATAAAAAATTGTTCATTCCATTTTTCCACCCGGTTGGGTTGGATTTCGCGAAATTTGCGAAATGAGTTGGTACCCGAAACTAAACTCAGCAAATTTCAGGCTTAATGCGTTTTTTTTTACATTGGACAGAATATTCCAAAACCCCTTTCTTAAGGTAACTTTTAGACGTACCGATTTTGTATTATTTGTTTAGTTTAAAATATCCAAAAACTTATCTGTGTAGTTTCAAGCCTTTTTGCAACTAATTATTTATCACTGCTTGTGTGCAGCGAAATTCAAAGAACTATATTTTTGTTTCGAATGTAATTATTTTGCCGCACAGGGCACTTATTAGAATCTATTAATTATTATGTATGTATGTCGTTGGTTGGCAGCCAACTCGAAGAAGTTGTGCCTAGGATGCGATCAATCGAAAAACTAAAAACTAACTATCTGTAAAGCGAAACGAAATGGAGCTCCGCTCAGACTGCGCGAACATTATTTTCTTTTAGGCTGTAATTATAACAGTTCTTTTACTTTAAACTATATACTACTTAGGGCTGTATGTGGAATATTAGCTCTGTAAATATAGTTTATTCAGCTTTTCTTTCAAAATGTCCATAGTTGGTCGGCTTTTCGGAAGAATATTCCAACAACGTTTCAATACTTTTTTTAATTTCTCCGCATTTTGGCAGTTTTCCACATCTTTTAAAGGAGGATGTTTACCTGCAGCGAAAGATGAATTGAATAAAAAGGTTTATTTAATTTGTATGCTTACTTACCCTTACTAACTTGAATCAACATGGCGACTGGTTCATTATTTTCCAAGTGATAAAAGGGCCTTTTATGTGCCATTACCTCCCAAAACACAATGCCAAAACTGAATACGTCACTTTTTTCCGTATATCTTTGGGCATTGACAATCTAATTAATAAACATTCTTAAACCTTCTCCTTTACATTTCGAGGAATACAAACCTCTGGCGACATGTAGCCGGGCGTGCCAATTGTCATCGTCATCAAAGTAGCCTGTTCCGTGACTGTTCCAAAGTCAGCTATCTTTAAGGTACGGTAATTGTTCGCAAGTAACAAGTTGTGTGGCTTAAGATCGCGATGAATCACGGGCTTTGGTTTCATGGCATGTAAATAAGCAACACCCTTGAACGAAATTCATGTTTATTAGTTGCACGTAGAACGCGATTTGTGTTTACCTTCGCCAATTGTTGCATCCAATTGAGGGCAGCCACGTAAGTATAGTTTCGCTCCTTTCTATCACGATACATGTAATTGTGGAGTGATCCGCAGTCTGCGAATTCCATCAAAATCAACGTTTTGCACTCTTTATCTTCCATAGTACAATAAAATTTAATTATATTCTCATGATAAGCGCTGGATAGGTACTTCACTTCTCTTTCAATGCCCTTTTTGGCATCCGCATCATTTACAAAAATTCGTTTCAGCGCCAATTGAATGCCATACATCTTAGCCTTGTAGACAGCGCCAAAGGCGCCCCGGCCAATTTCCTAAAATTAATGTATTAACTTATGTAATGAAATTAAAAAAATGGGCGAACATTACCTCTTCCAATTGTACATCCCTGATATGATCAGTGGCTGCTGTTTCTAAGGTTGGGACATTGCCAAAATATAGCCTAGACAAAAAGTTAGTAAATTCCATTTACAAAAAAAACTCTTGTATTCTAAGATTACAACTTAAAGCAAGTTGTAATATATTTCTATAAAACTAATTAAAATTAAATAAAGAAATTTACTTAAAAAATACCTGATAATCATGCTGAGGTTCAATAGCACAGTATTCACATTAGGCCGCCTATTTTTGTCGCTGTCCCAACACCTGCTAATTAGCGATTTTATATTGCTAGAGCCCAACCCATCCGGGACACAATTCAAAGGTGGTTGACGTCTAGTACCAAAAATACATTGCAAAAGGGGAAAGGAAGGCAGCTCATTTTCACAAAATGGTTTTCTGCGGGAAAGCACTTCCCAAAGTACTATTCCAAAGCTATATACGTCGGTTTTTTCGGCATATACTTCTTCGTTAGGTGGTATATAGTATTTTGATACAGCGTTATGTCGACTGCCCAGTGCACCGATCTTCAAGCAGCGACAGTTATCGACTAAAAACAATTTCTCCGGCTTCAGGTTGCCATGAAATAAAGGCAACGGCGTCAGCCCATGTAAAAATGCAAGACCCTGCAAAGTGAGAATAAAGAAGTAAGAGTGATTTTGTCAGGAGTGACCGACTAGGAGATACCCTGAATGAATCGCTGTGTTAACAGACATTCTAGCTGCCTTCTAATATACGTACATACACACACATACACAAACAATTTAAAATTTCCGAGCACGACACTATTATATAGACATGGCTAAATCAAGTCCGATCGTCGTACTGATTACGAATATAATTACTTTTTGTGGTTGGAGATACTTCCTTCAGACTGTTACATACATTCGTTACATACACTTTTCAGTTCTATTGATAGAATTCGAAAAGTAACGCATGCATACCGAAAATGCCTGCACTTGGCGCTAACTGTCCCATGGATTTTTCAATAAAGCCAAACTTTTTCATTCATAATCTCTTAACCAACTTTGTTGAAATTGTCTATAGTAAGCCTATTGTCCTATAGAATATGGCAACATCCATTGTGACTGTCATTGTTATTGAAATTAATTGGATTTTGCGAGATGGGAAGGCGAAACGAGATTTACTTATTCGTACTGCGCGGGCAATAGAAGGCCCTACGTTCACAACTTCATACATACGGACGGATGGACAGGTAGACATTGCTAGATCGACTCGGCTTTTAACGCTGACCAAGAATATATATCTAGTTCATGGGGTCGGAGATGTTTTCATTAGGCTATATTAATTATAAGAATAGAAAATAGAGAATAGAGGAAATGGAACATACCTCGGCACACTGGAGCATCCATTTGAGTGCGTCTTCCGTAGAATAGCTTGGGACATCTGACCCATAAATATGGGTAGCCAGTGATCCACAGTCTGCGTATTCCATAACTAGGTGGAATTCTATGGCTGGAGAGAATGCAGCCCCATACAATTTCAGGATGTTCTTATGGTCAATGATAAATAGCGGCGCGTTTCTACTCTTGACCCATCCGTAATTAAATTTGCGATATTTTTTAACAGCAACTGTATTTTGAAGCCAAACTGATTTGTATACTGTAGAGAAATCGCCGGTCCCGATTACCTTTAAGATAAACATTAATTTGGTTCGATTTTAATAAGCTAGCTATAGTAAGATATCATTACCTCCTTAAGATCGATGTCGTTTAAATTAATATTGTGGTCCATGTTCAATCGCAAAAGCAGCTTGCAGATTAACTAAAATGCTAGATAATAAAACAGATTAGAATTAATAGAAATTATACAAGAAAAAAAAGAGTATTCCCTCAATTAAATAAAAGTCAATATCATTATTCTATTATAATAAAACACAATTACCCATCGATCGTTATACGCCAGCTATATGATAAGTTCTTTCAAATTGTTAGTAGCAGAAAAACATTCGTAATTCGTGAGTTGGATTTAAATAAAGCAGTTTTTCTTGCAAAACCCAATTTCTATAATTTCGATCATTTCTGTGGCCAGTTCGTAAAAGGCAGATCTGTTTCATTATAATAAAAGGCAAATTTACAGACATTAGTCAGGTAGACGGATTATACTATATATGTATATATTATTATATATATTATATATATTATAGATTATATGCTATATCAATGTGTTACACTTCTTGTGTACACATTTTAATACTAACCATTTAGTTGCTGGGTGATTAAGCGGCGTCTAAAAGAAATGTTTTATTTATGCAATCATTGCAGAAATGCATTATATTATTTTTTGTCTGCTAAAAAAGTCTAAAGTGTTTACAGTTTGATAGCTGTGTGAGCACTGATAACAAGCGAACTATTAGCTCTGATCGTGGGTCAAAATAACAGAGAACAAAGCATTGAAGACAAAACTTGATAACTGCTCGCGTATGTTCACAAATTCAAACTAATTCAGACAGTATAACAGGGTATAAAAAGTAAGCCTATCGCGCAAACAGTGTTCAACGAGTACCCATTTTTAAGGGGATCGATAAATACCAAAATAAAGTAAGCGATAACAATCAAGTTCCTGTCATTTGTTTAAACTTTGATTGCCGTATAATCACTGATAATAGCTTTCTTATCGCGAAAGCGGGACATGCAGGGGCGTTGCACAAAGAAACTGACATCACATTTTAAAAGTTGCTATTTGTGGTTCAATGTCACCTGAGAAAATTTAAAACAAGAAATAGATCATTTTCCTGGGTCGAAAACCAGAAAATTTAAAATGCACTTCCTTCCATCCCTGACATTGGCTGAGGATTGTCAGTGTTTTTTAGAAAGGAGAAGAGACAGCGTTTCCGATTGACTAAAATGCTAGAAATGCTAATAGATTGGAATTAATAGAAGCGAAACCAAAAAAAAAGTATTATCTCCGGGCTACCGAAAAACACACTGAGATGTATAGTAATGCTTAAGAATGCTTTGATTTCAATTTTACAGAAAATGATTTGAGTTACGATTCTGCCAAATTGTTAGAATTATAATTAGCAGAAATCGTTGATTGCGAAAGTATTTCTTACAAAACATATCGTTTGACCGATCATTTCTGCGGCCATTTTGTAATAGACAGATTTTTGATAATAATATTGATAATGATAAAATGTATATGAAACCAATAATAATAATAAATAATAATAAATATAACTTATTTATAGTAATCACGATGACAAGCAAAAAGATAAGAAAGACAAAAATAACAAATATAAAGAGGTAAGCTTATCATGAAAACGGTAATGAGTAATCACGGATCGGATAGTAGTGAGGCGATTAGAATTTTTGTTTTGATTTTACAACCACGAGAGTGGGGGCTTGTCGATTAAAAACTGACAAGACGCGGTAATTGGTCGCTAATTGTCCGTTTAATATCCCCAGTGAACGATCAACTCGACTACGTCGTTTTTACTTTTTTTATATATACTTTAAAGATGAAAAGATTTCCAAAGTGAATTAGATGTTTTGGCCGACATTTTTTGAAAGATTCAATGTTTGCAAGTGGCCTCTCCCAAAACACATAACCCAGCCAGTCATATATTCAGTTGGTTAGTATAATCTCTAATAGCTGGGTAATTTATTTTCTATTTTATGGAAACATTTAATTAAGAATAATATTTAAATCAGGCGTCATGAAGAATTAAATGCAATGTCCGCAAAGAAAACAACACGAACTTTTAAATAAACGCAACTGATTAGATTCAAAACGCCCCCAATGGCTGTGCCCGCGCTTTGAACTGGCAGCAATGGTCACACCGGTGTGCGGCTGCGGTGCGGCGAATTGAGTTAGCAGCATTTTTCTGCTACTGGCCTGCGGTCACACTGCACAACAGCTGTGCTACGTCTTTGTTGTGTTTGGCTTTTTCAATTTTTCAATTTAAAAACCAAGCATCAGTAGCGTGTTTACATTCTATAAAATACGATCACATAACGATGGGTAACACAAGTGGCAAACGAGAATCGGACAATCTATACACAGCCGAGGAGCTGCGCTTTCTAGAAACGGCGTACCGCAACGCATCTGGCGGTGCCTTAGAGAAATTAACATCGGATCGACTCGTGGTAGGTGCACAGTAGGTCGTTGCACTTGTGCTAGCCAAAAATCAATGACTGCAGTTGACTGCAGTTTCCTGCAGTGGCTGTTCCGGTCACAAGTTCAAGGTTCACTGCAACAGTCAGTTGTGCGTCTCGTGTCTCGTGTCTCATGTCATGCGACTCCACAAATGATATATTATGTGAGGGGAAAGCTGTCGTCATTGTCACTATCGGCGTTATCAATAACACTTCGCATTTGTTGTATTGGCTGAACGTGTCTCTTTGGTTTATTTAATTTGTTTGCTTTTCGCATTTGCGGCTGATTTTGTGTTTGCTTTGCCTTTGCCTAATTTGCTTGCCAACGAATTAGTAGTGAATCCAAAGGGGGGTTGGCGCACATAATTATGGCAACGAAATTGAATTTATAATAAACAATAGACGCGACGAATGCAGCCAATTTCAGCGTTAACAGCGTGTCCCCCTTCTCAGTGGCCGAGTTTGGCTGCGATCGCAAGAATTTGTTTATTATTTTTTGTAAATTTGAATTTAATTCTGTTCTGTTTTTTTTTTCTTTTTTTTGTTTTAAACAGGAAGCATGGTCTCAAACAATCGAGCGTTCGCTAGCCGAGGGCACGGCTCAGTTTCTGTTTATGCCAACGAAACCTGGACAGCATTGCATTAATATACCCTTGAGGAAATTTGGCGAACCCTACTACATCATGGAACGTGGCAGCATTGAGATGAAGATGCAAATGATGCTCGCATCGCTGCAACGCGGCGCCAACGACAGCTACAACAGCAAACAGCTTGAACAGGTTAGCATTAAATCCTTAATTTTAGAAATATAAATTAATTAATTAAAATTGCCCTGCTTACAGTATATACACTCGGTCATAAAGAGCTATGTGCATCTGGAGAGCACTTTGAAGGGATCCACCATTAAGGAATGGCAGGACTTGGGCTTTCTTACAACTGAACGTTCGGTCTGCAGCTTTGCCAAGGGTCTGATGCGTAATCTAAGCAAAGATTTGGAGCACACTTTGCACAATGAGGCACTGGAGCGTTGGCTGCATGTCACGCCGCAGTTTCTGCAATTGTGGCGCGAGGTTTTCGTACAGCTTTACACACGCCATGGTGGCAGCAAGCGACAAATCATCAAAGATGTGGAAATTTCCATTCTGCCTCAGCTTTGCGGTATGTAATGTTCTATTGTATGCCTCAATCATGACAATCGTAAATCACATTCGCGCATACAGATGCCCCGCACAGCAGTCACTACAGGCCCATCATCGAGCTGCCACATGTGCTGTATATAAATGCACAGCTACCGCGCGAGATGCGTCACAAATGGCGTTTCCTATTTTCATCGAAAGTCCACGGCGAGAGTTTCTCCACTATGATAGGCAAGATGATAGACAAAGGGCCCACGTTGTTCTTTATTGAAGATGAGGATCAATACATATTTGGCGGCTATGCACCAGAATCATGGTCCCTGAAGCCTCAGTTTGGTGGCGACGATTCCTCTTTGCTCTATACGCTCAGTCCAGCCATGCGCTGTTTCACCTCCACGGGCTACAATGAACATTATCAGTATCTTAACTTGAATCAGCATACAATGCCCAATGGGCTGGTGAGTAATTGTGCCCTCTAAAAATGTGTATCGATTAGCGTTTTTAACCTCAACTCTCTGTACAGGGCATGGGCGGGCAGTTTGGTTTCTGGGGTAAGACCAATAACACTTAAAGCTTGTAATTAGAATCAATTTATACATTAACTACTATTTTGCAGGCCTCTGGTTAGACTGCATGTTTGGCGAGGGTCAGAGTGTGGAGAGCTGTACCACATATTGCGACTATGTGCAGCTCAGGTGCGCTATTTGACTTTATATATACGCTTTGAAATGCGCATTACTAAAAACACAACAATACAATATTTTACAGCAAACGCAAGCAATTCAAAATACGTAACATGGAGGTTTGGGCTGTAGGCGATTTGCCCGTCAAGGAGGATGACGAGGGCGGGGATGGTCAGGTAAACACTCTACACACTAGAATATGCAACATATTAATCATTTTCGAAAGAAAGCCTACTAAAAAATTGTTTTTGGTTAAAATCTTCAACTAGTTTTTATCAAGCACTTTTAAAACTAACATCATAATTAGGAGCCTATTCAATTCAGAATTATAATTACCTTTGCTGGTTTATCTGTAGAAACGTTCTGTGCTGGACAGCAATCTGGAGGATCGTGCCATGCTGGAAATTGCTGGCAAGCAAATGCACTCGGATGGGCTTCGTGAACCGGGCATGGATGATTGATGGCGGTCGCTGTTCAAGGCATTAAGTGGCAGCTCGGTTTTATTGCGTTCAAGAATTTATAGCACTATATCTCTTTTGGGTGTGCGGTTAAAACCTTTACATATTTACTTTAGCCATAAAAACCTTCCTACACACTTTAAAACAAACCCTGTGTACAAGAAAGTGTTTGTTCTTTCCATTCCTTCAAACTTTTGTTAAGGCAATAATGTAATAATATAATATAGATATATATACATACGTATAAACAATGTATTATGCATAGTGTCTATGTAATACTGCAAGTATTCTTGTTGCGTTTTAGGACTACAAGTGAAATGAATCGTTCAAAAGCAATGTAATATCGTCGTAAACCTCTTTTTCCGCGTTTAAATAAATCGCAAACTATTTGCCGAACTCAAATTTATTGCTTAAATCGTTAAACTCTCTATGCAAAACTATGTATATGTTTTTTTATTTATGCCTGCCAGGGTACTCATGGTAGGTACTATAATTTTAAATATTAAATTACAAAGCTGTTACTTGAAGCCACTTAGTATAGCTCGCATGCTACAATATACTAAATAGATATCTAATGGGTTTTATATGTCAACAGCATAACCCGAGAGCGTGACACCAGGTGCAATCTCCTCTTCTACGTAGGAGCCCGCCTCCTCGAAGGAGCGCGCATTGCTATCCTCAAAGCTGCGTCCTACGCTCGCTGGTGTCTGGCGCAGCGGCGGGGCACGCTGGCCAAAATTGCGTGCCGCACCATATTTGCCGGCATTATAGTTGGAGTTTTGGCCCTCCTCATCGTAGCGTCGTCCAGTGGAACGCAGCTTTGGCGCCTGGAATGTGTGCTGTTGCTCATGCTCTGATTCATGACGATTGTGGAAATCGTAGGTGTTCGTCTCCGAGCCGCGCGGATAGTTTGTCTTCCGCAGGATGGCCTTAAAATTAAATGGTGGCTCCTCCGAATTCTGTAAGACGGAATCTCAATTCTATCCCATAATACTGTTCATTACTTACATCGTCCTCATTTCGGCGCGCCATATTCTGTAGTTCTCGCACCGGATCGGCGGGTGGA